GCCAATTGAGAGAACTACTGAGCATTGTAAGGCAGGAACATGTGGAGATCTATAGGTTCCCTACCATTATATTATATTAATAAAACATTTTTAATCACAAATGTACTTAATGCAAAAAAGATAGAATGGAGTACATTGCTGGAGTGGTTTTCTTTATTTTTTTTAAGAAGAAATATGGTGAGAAAGAGAAACAAATTTGTGATAAAAACTGGATCATGGATGGGCAACCAAAAGCCTGCAGACCTCAGAGGCCTTCAGCTACAAAGAAAATATAGCAGGCTAGATGTGCAGGATATCTTCTTTCCCATCAGCTGACAAATTGCTATGGTTGTTGGTGGAAAATGAGTTTCAAGGTCATGAAGGGGGTGACTATGTTTTCCCCACCAATTCCAGTGTCCATACCAACAAATAAATAGACCAATCAATCAATGGATGGATTTCCTTATAGGGTTGTTCAGTGGGAAACCTGTCCTCCAACTTGTACACCATCCAACTCACCGTCAGCCTAACTTCCCTCACAGGAACATAGTAAAGATAAAATTTAAGAACTTTCAAGTTCAAGAAGCTCTGTGAGCAACTTGGAATAAAGATGGTGTACAAAGAAATGGTAGATTGTACATGGCATGTACCTCTATCAAGACGTATCATATCAGGGCAACACGTTTGTATCCTCATGCACATGCCGACTCTCTATAGCTCTTACCTAAGTTTGGTTTCCTTTAAAATGAAAACAGAAACATTAAGTTCACTACACTTCAATACATTTTGCAAATGTTTCCATTGACTAATGGCAGGGTGACATGCCATCCACTTCACAGAGCAAGAACAGAACATAGCACTTTATTGCACTTCACACGCCACAAGTTAGTTCCAATAAAGAATGTTTATAAACCAGATACCACAACTTTAATTGCCACAATGATAAATAGGTTAAGATTTTTGAGAGCCCCTGATAATAAAAACCAAAACATACAAAATAATTAAATAATTAAATAAATAAATAAATAAATGACAAAACACTGAATATACCATTAAGAAATTCTTACATTCCTCATATATATTACTTCTTGAATATTCATCACCTAATTGCCCTGAATATGTAAAAATAGCACCTGGCCTGTATAATTCTTCCTAGCATTGTTTAGCTGCCATGCTTTGTGGGCGGGACAGTGATGTAGGGGAAATTATCATGTTTTAAATCTCTGGGAAAGTAAAAAGTCTGCTGTATGAGTTTTCCTTCTAGCTTGGGGTTTTACTGGGTGGCCAAGGAACGGCAGAAGTGACTAATCTTTTGATTGCCAAAGCTGCACTTAACTCTGAAAGCCGGGGGTGGGTGGGTGGGGGTGAGGGACGCAAAGTATATGGGGCTATATCACAGATGGGAGGAAACGTAGTGGTAGTTTTAGAGATCTGGACCTTAGACTACTCATGTGTGTCATCTCAAAAAAGCGGAAAATTGTGCAATTACTTTTGCCTCATTTCATTCTGAGCATTGGACTTCCTGAACCCTTCTCTACAGGTTTGAACTACCTACCTGCATGTACTTCTCTTTAGTTATTAGCCCCTGCTTCTATTTCTTATATATGGTCATTTTGCTTCTCAGCTTGTCAGTGAGCTTGCTGTTCATTCATGCTGACCTTTAAAGTTTTTCTTATTTTCCCCTCTCCTTTGAATTTTTTGTAGTTCCACTTCCTGTATTTCATTTTTTAGGATCTCCCATTCCATTTAAGTTTGTTTATCCTTTATGTTTCATGCCATGATGTGCTGTCCATATTCCACCCAAGTTCATTAATATTTGCCTTCCAGAAATCCAAACCACATGACTGACCTCTTTCAGCTTTTCTTCTCCTTGTTATCTTGATCTCCAGCATGATGTGGTCATTTTTTGCAAACTACCTGACACCTTCAGTCCAACAATTAATTCCTCTCTGCTGGTCAGAATAAGATCCAGGAAAGCAGATCCCTTTGTTTCTTTTTCTACCTTCTCAAAATGAAATTGCCACCAAAAGAGGTCAGAAATGTATTGAACGCCCACTCTGCTGTTTTTCAGCAGATATCAGGGTAGTTGAAGTCTCCTGTTACTGGCATGGGCTGTCCTCTTGAGAACTTGGCAAACTGCCTGGATGGTAGGCTGTAATAAACTCTCACCAGGGTATCACTTTTCTTTCCTTATTTTTTAAAAAACAAACCCCAATACTAATTCAAGGTCACTGCTTTTGTCACAGTCATGTTTCTTCTTTATTGCCATACCCACTGCTTTCTGTCCATTGGTCTACAGACACTGGCGAATTGGAATGTTCCAGTTTACTGGTCCCCAAGTTAGCATGTGTTCTGGATTTCTGAGTATCCTTACCTGCTGTGTATCTCCTCTATTATCATATGGGGCACATGAATCTATGCCTCTGTCTCCCTCCTCCTTCTGCTTTAGTTTAAAGCTCTCGTCAAACATTTTTTGCCTGCTCTTGTGAAGTACAGCCCATGTATGCTTAGGAATTCCTTATGCCAATTATGTAGGCCATGGCCTAGGAAACCAAAGATTTCTTGACAGCATCATGTTCTTAGCCAGCTGTTCATAACCAGGATCCTACTTTCTTTTCTTGTCTCAGTGGGTTGGATGGATGAAAACACTACCTATGTCCCAGTTGCTTCATGTTTCCACCCATGGCTTTCACCTTTTACAGCAAGGACACAAGCTTGGATGTGCAATAGGTACAGTTAGGATAGTTGAGTTAGGAGACACATACCACACTTGGCAGATCCTCACTACTACACTCTTGGAATCCAACCTTAGTATACAGCAAGTGTATTTACAGCTGCAGCTTAAGCTTTTGTATTATTGCACCAACAGGTAACATAGCTTGATGCTGTCCAGATCCTGATCACATCAGATTAGGACTACAGAATTCCCAAAATGTTGCAGAATTCTGGGAGATTTAGCCCAACACATTTTGGGGTACAAGGATGGAGAAAAGTGGATTTTACTTAAAAACAAAAACAAAAAAACCTGCTTTGCTGCCAAATTTCTAATTCATAGTAAATTGCATGCAACCACCAAATACAGGCTACAAACAAAAAGCTTTAAAAAGCTTTAAACAAAGGATTATTTACTGATTTTTAAAAGTGTTACCCTGAAAAAGACTTACTCCTGCTCAATTTGTGAGAGCATTTATTTTAATAACAGAAACCCTATGCAACTAAATACCTTTGTCAATGATCAGATTCTGAGAGACCATAAAAATGAAGGGAAATTTTCCCACATTATAGCTTAGTCCTCTGTGGCTCCAGTCTGCTAAGTAATCTCTTCTGATTTTTGCAGGCTGCTTCAGAAAGAGGTCTTGGCTTGTGCCTAGAATCTTCTTTTGTGTTTTGCCATTGTTTTCCTGAAGCAACACACACCAAAAACATATGGAAATAAAGCACAGTAGAACATCAGTGGTGGAACAGAACTGCCAAAAAAGAGTCAGTCAGTCAGTCAGTCAGTCTGTCTGTCTGTCTGTCTGTCTGTCTGTCTGTCTGTCTGTCTATCTATCTATCTATCTATCTATCTATCTATCTATCTATCTATCTATCATCTCTATCTCTATCATCTGAATAAACAGAATGTTAATTATATAATTGAAACTGATTTGCCTAGTTTTCAAGATGCAGAACTTAAAACGAATGATATAATGTTTAGCATGGGCTGATTATAACCATTTTGTCCCCAGACATTAAACTTTTTTCACATCTCCTTATCTAATGGATGGTAGGAATAACCATCCATTAGAGGAACAGAAGGAAAATCCACAACCAAGGCAATGATCAGATAAAAGAAATCTGAGTTTGGGGCAGAAATGTAATTTGAGTAAGCGTCTCAGACATGACCCTCCCTAGTTCTGAAGATAAAGGGAGGGAGAGGGGAAGCACATTCAGACTTGCAAAATGTTGCTACTGTAACCTTATAATAAAGTAGCATTAACATTCTTAACTCTGGTATCCCAGTCTGGTTTGCCTTGAAGGACTGACATCAATCTAGCAAAGTGTTAACTGGTTAATAAATGCTGTTTAACTCTTGCTACTAAATTGGAAAGGAAAATTAATCTATTTGCCCATGTGGGATTCTATATAACCAGACTGGGTATACAAATGCTTATGTCTTTATACATATTTTTCCTATACAAATAAAATGATGCATAAGTGTAGCATGTAAGTATGGCACCATCTATGATGCTTTTTGTGTCCAAAGTTGTACTGAGCAAACTCTGCATCTACTTACAAATTTTATACTTCTACATACAGTATATAAGCTTAATATACGGAGCCCATATTGTACTATCTGTATAGTTCTTATTCTTCATTGTTAAAAAGTTCTGTAAAGTTAAATTATTTAACACCAACAGAAGGATCACCTATGATCTGTTTTTTTTTCCAAGTTGGCATTCCCTGAAATTTATTTGATAAATTCCATGATCATTTCTACATTTCTACTCAATTTACAATTATTTTGCTTGATTTCTCTATATTTATAATAAATCAACTTTAAAGCCAAATTATAATAAAATCCAGTTGTATGTTACCACTGGCAGAAACTATTCTCTTGCAGACACCCATGTCCCCTCACAATCTATTTCCGCAGCCTCTGAAGCAGACATGGGAATGTACAGAGATAGCTGCTGGAGAAGGAAGGGAAAGATAATATCTCATTGCATAAGCAATAGATTTCAGTGAAATAATTGACTATGCATTTACTTAAACAGTTTCTGCAAGAGTCCACAATATTTTTCTTGAAAAACTTAAAATCACAATATTTTTCTTAAAAAAACTAAAATCACAAGAGTGTCATATATATAGTGTCACCCGTAATATTTGTGACATGTTTGTATTCCTGTCTGAAAGGAATCTGGCACATATGTTTTAGCAAATGCATGCTTGAAGTTGTACTTGAAAAAAAAAAGGTATGAGAACAGGAGCAATGGGTGGCCATACTTCACCTTGTAAAAGAGGGAAAATATATTTTTTAGACAAAATAAAAGAGGAGCTGACCACAGGAGGTGACTGTCCATCAGAAGGAGAATTAAAGAAAGCAGTAAGCTCAGTGGACAAGCTGACAACCAGAAACAAAAGTTACAGAAGATATTTTGCAGAATTGGCACTCAAAAGCAACTATCAGGTGAGAGGGGGAGAAAAGACACTGTAGAACAGAAGATATAATTATGGATCCCTGAAGAGCAGAAAAGAAGACAAAGTAAATTTGAAGAGCATTACCAGGCTCATCATCTTGTAAAGTTTACCAGGAACAAGAATTAGGGATGTGCTAGAACAGCTTCCAAACTTATCGAGTCCACTGACAATAATTCCTTCTTGCTAACCCACATGGAGAAAAATATACAGCAAAGAGCAGACTGGAAAGGAAAATTAGAACGTTGAAAATAAATGTCTAGCTGTGTAAATGATGTTCACTGGAGAATTCTGGTTTCTGGGACCATAGTGAAGGACAAATTGGACCTCATAAAGACTGGCGAAAAATATTTGGCAAAAGCAGAGTGAGCTTGATCAGGAGAGCTTTAAATTGATCCTGTGAGATCTGGAAGTAAAAATATATTGAAGTAAAGACTTGCATACTGTAGAAAGAACTGGGAATGTTGGTGAAATCAAATTCTATGAAAAATAAAAAAGCATATTGCTTCATAAAGTTCTTGGCTTTCATAGTCTATACACTAATATGGCTAAACACTAATATGGCTCAAAATATAGGAAATTAACATAATGAGCATGAATTCTTAGTACAGGAAGGCAAATATGATTAATATTTATAATGGAGACCTAGTGGAATGAGTCCATGATTGGAATATAACAACAGAAATATCAATTTGTTTCAAAGAGACAACATTAGTAGGAATGGAGAAGTTGCAATGTATGTTAACAGTGTCTATATCTGCTTAGAAATCCAAGTGAATGAACTTGGTGATACTGTAGCACTGCATCAGGGTTAACATGAGGAGAGGAACACATAACAGCAGTACTATTATATCAGTCAAGAAGATGTGGATCAGCAATAAGTGGGAAGAGAAAGAGGAACATTCAGTGATGGAGGTGGGGTAGGGGTACAATGAATGTCCGATCCAGTATTGCAGGTAGTCCCACTGAGAAACAGTGGCTGTGAACTTCAGTCACCCTTCACCTTGTGAAAGTAGCAAAACTCAATTGGTTTTTTCATGATGAACTTGGCTGGAGAAGACAGCCATGCAGATACTTTAGTGCCAAACCATGGGGGGCTAGAGAAGTGCATGATGCACTAGTCTTCACTATAGAAGTTGCATTGAGTTCTTTTGCAGGAATGGGGAGTGTGTACATGCGTGTATGTGTGGACACTTCCTTCAGAAGTGTTAATGTAGTTGTAGGAGAGTTGCACGAATGCCATCTAGTCCATTTGAAAACTCCCTTACATATTTTGATTCCAGGCCGCTGCCACCACCACATTCTCCTTTCTACCAATTCTCCCTCTCATTCAGCTATCCAAACCACACCATTTACTTGCCTTACCATCCTCTCCAACACCCCACATTGCCACACCCCCTTGGAATTATCCCAGAGCTGCCTCTCATTAGTGTCCCTATGCCTGCAGAAAAGTTGCAGCTAATGTGGCTTCTTCCTCTCCTTTCCTTTACCTCGCTGGTATCCTCCCCTCCCAGGAAGAGTATAAGTGCAGAAAGAAAAAATTCACTCTGCCTTGGACTCTGACTGGCCAGCAGGCTGAGGTGCCTGGAGCATGATCTGGGATGAGTTTGAGCCAGTTACTCCTAATGAAGTGGATAGGGCTCTCTGCACTCTCAGCTCGGCCATCTGTTTACTGGATCGGGGCCCTCCTAGGTTATGAAAGCAGCCAGTAAGGTAACCTGCAGTTGGGTCCATGTTGCAGTTGGGTCCATGTCAGCCTCTTTGATGGAGGGGGTGGTGCCCCCAGCCTTAAAAGAGGTGGTGATATACCTTTTCCTCAAGAGGCTGTCCTTGGACTTAATGGCCTTTGATAACTATCAACCAGTCTCTAACCTTCTCTTTCTGGAGAAGGTTCTTAAGAAGATGGTTAGTCTGTAGCTGATGAGATTACATTCAAGTTGGTCTTCCTTCTCTTGCACTTTTCCAAAATCATCT